AAAAAAAAAAATATCCTTACCTATCTAGTGCAAATAATGTCAATCTGCTATGATGACCAACCAAATCAGAAAAGGAGAAGGAGGAAGAAGACGAAAATAACCAAAGCTAATAGCCGTTGGTTGCTCAGCCGTGTGAGTGTGGGATCACCAATATACATAACCAGTGTGCACGGTATTATCATCTTTGTTTCACAGAAGAAGTTGAATCCCAGACAGCGGAATGAGCCTGCCCAAGGTCACACAGATAATCAGTGGTATAGGATTAAAGACCCTGTGACTGAGAGCTTTATGTTGAACCATTATGCTTCATATTAAGCACTCTGGATTCTGGGGTTGAAATGAAAGAACACGTGATTGGAAGCTGGTATAATTAAATATATCACACCACATCAATCAGCTCTCCGCAGGGAAAACAACAACCCTGATTTTAGCGTTTGCCCATTTCTGTGGTGTAAATATTCCCACTGTGGTTGATTTCAAGCCGCCAGTAGTTTGGTAGGGTGACCGGATATGTCCAGGAGGGGGTGCTGATGCAGGTGTAGGAGATTTGGGCCCCGAGCTGTACTGCCTCTTTACTTCCGTGCTGCCGTAAGCAAGACTCAGTCTTTCTGAGCTTCAGTTGTCTCCCTCGTCTGTAAAACAAAACGATGAAAGAATAAATTGCCTCCACGTTTTTTTTTTTTTTTAAAGCCTTAGGAAGGGTCCATATGATGCGAGGTGACGGTTTGGAAAGTCTAGTGTGTTCTTTTAAATGTGAAAATGGGGAATTTGCGAGTCATTAAAACGGTCACTTTTGAGAAGAAACATGATTTGAAGTTTAATGAAGTTCAATAAATACAGTCATCTAGTCTCCTTCCCACCCTTTTACCTTGTCGAGGCTCTTTTTTTTTTTTTTTAAAGATTTTATTTATTTATTTGAGAGAGAAAGAGCAAGAGAGCACAAGCAAGGGGAGTGGGAGAGGGAGAAGCAGACTCCCTGCTGAGCAGGGAGCCTTATGCGGGCGGGGCTCGATCCCAGGACCCTGGAATAATGAATGACCTGAGCCCAAGGCAGACACCCTACTGACTGAGCCACCCAGGCGCCCCTAGGCTCTTCTTGAACTTGTTTTCCTATTGGATAAAAGTTGGAACAGAGACCATCAGAGTCACTTTGCAATTTCACCTTGGAAGTATTTGGATTTTCCAAGGCAAAAGTTCTTAAGCTAGAATATTTAATACAATTAGTTTCCTTGATAATCTTGTTTATTGTACTGCATATGCTTATAAAAGCACTGAGAAGTGATCCACAAACTTCCTAAGACTGCCAGAGAGTGTGTGGCCCCTCCAAAAAAAAAATAAAAAATTTTTAAAAAGTATCAAAATGGAGATTTCCAGAGAGCTTAGGAACAGATTTTTCTAGGCTGGAGAGGGCAGACTTCTAGCAAAGGTGTGGACAGCCACCACCTCACTGGCCTCATTCTGCAAAATGCAAAGAAAAATGAAACGTGTGCCTTCTATTTCTGAATACCTAAAATTAAGAGAAATGTATTAGTCATTAAATACATACAGGGTTTTGACTGACTGTCATAAAGCACATCATCCATTTTTCTAAACACACGCATACCCCTTGAGAGATCCTTGGCTACAGAGGTTTTAAGTCAGTACTTCTGTTTGAGAATTAGCATTTTTTTAGTCATTGGGAAGCATGCTATTTCAGGAGAGTCTGCGATGAGAGGAAAGCCTGATGTCCTTCTGTCGAAATTTGGGTATCTCTGGGCTTGCCTCTCTAACAGCATTCCCGCTTTCCTTCTGCAAATACCGAAGACATACCACTTGCCAGGCAGAGTGAAAGCATTGGGGGCCATCAGGATGAATGTGTGTCCTGCCCCTGCCCTCAGAGAGCTCTCAAGTCCACTGAAGAGGACACTAGGTCAACAAAAAGTCTCAACACAAGGCGGCCAGCGCTGGAAGAGAGGAAGGAACAAGGCGCTGTATGAGGGTGTGATGACCACGTGGCTGTCCCCCATCACAGATATGTGGGTGTACCGTAGCCATATAGATTTGCTCCGTTAAAAATCATTTTCTTTTTATTGACCGGTACAGAATTTTAACAGTACACGTAGGCAAATTGAAGAATTCGTTTTTATTTTTTCCTTCCGGTATTCGACTAAAATATACACAGTATGTTTAATTTCCACCCATGGGTTCACATGTTGTGAAAAGGAATACATTTCAAATCTAATCTGTAGTTCTCAATCTTGGGTATTAGGTAGAATTAATGACCTAGGCGCGCTTTTTAAAAATACCAGTGCTTGAGCCACTTTGTCTTGGTGGGCAAGGACCTGAGATAAATCATAAGCAAAGACGGCATGCCCTAGAGGGAGGGAGAGATGTTGCCAGAGTCTCTCTGGCCTGCCCCAGTGACCCGTGCTGATCACCCACATTCATGGTGCATGCTGGCTTTAGGAGGTTCCAGGCCGAGCCTTACCTACACTGTGGGGAAGGTCAGCACCACGGGCCTAGATCCACCATATGATGAAGGCCTCCTTGCCCTCGGAAATGAATTAGTACTCAAAATGCCCCAATAGATAGCCATACCCTTTTTGGAAGCTTTATTTTCCTCAAAAAATGTAAGTGCCTTCAAGGAATGATGCTAAAACTTACTGGTTATTTGTATCATTTGGGGCTCATTTCCTGGTAACAGAGTTTGAAAGAAGGTAGCAAGGTGAACTTTCTTAACTTGGATTCTCTAATGAGAGGATGAGAGAATGGGAAGGAAAGACCTATGTTGGGCCTCTCTGCAGGGAGCACCCCTCAGCATGGGCCTTTGGCTCCCTCCTACCCACCCACCACCACAAAGTAGAATTAGTCCTTCATTTAAATACTCCTAGTCATTCTTTTTTTTTTTTTTTAAAAGATTTTATTTATTTATTTGAGACAGAATGAGAGAGAGAGAGAGCACATGAGAGGGGTGAGGGTCAGAGGGAGAAGCAGGCTCCCTGCTGAGCAGGGAGCCCGATGCGGGACTCGATCCCGGGACTCCAGGATCATGACCTGAGCCGAAAGCAGTCGCTTAACCAACTGAGCCACCCAGGCGCCCAATACTCCTAGTCATTCTAATCTTAATACTCACAGTACCCCTAACACAGTAATTCTATAATTGCATGGATGAAGTTCTTTAATCGAGTTTTGACCTCCTGCTGGTTTTGAGTGGGATTCATGTCAAGACAACCTGATAAGAAGCAAACAGAAAAATAAAATTCATAGGACATCAGTAGGAAAAAACAAAAACCCTGCTCAATCCTTACGGAATGCCTAGCATAGGCCAATGGAGCAATCCTCTCTATGCTCTTCATACCGTATGTCTGTGTCATTCTGGCTCAGAATCATAAGCACCTGTCCTCAGAGACGCTGGTCCTGGATTGTTCTGTAAGGCACTCAGCACATTCTGAGTGCTCTGTAAATGCTGAGGAGATGAGATTATCTTCAGAGGATGTCTCCTCGGAGGAAGGTGCTATGCAAATACCAGTATTGCGATTCTTCCAGCACAAATTTATAATCGACTTTCCGTTAAACATTGCAGCAAGTTAAATTAATTCCGTATGATTACAGTCATTAAACAAATGCCTCGTAATGACTGCTTTCTTATTTCGGCATTCCTCAAACCACTGCGGTCATACCATATAAGGCTTTTTGCTCCATTGTCAGATTAATTGGGATGCACAACCTGCGTTTGGTAATAGAGCACGCCTGCTGCTCTCCAGCAGTCAGACCATGGTTTAAGGCTACTGCTGGACTCCTTTACCTTCGAGATTTCCCTATTGCTCTTGCCATCCCGTTAGGGTACCATTCACTAGTCCGTTACGGCAGACAAGAAGCTTAAGGCAACTTCTACCTGTTCAAAAACAAAAACAACAAAGAAAGGAAGTGTGCTTTTTAAAAAAATCAGAACCCGGGCAGGAATCCTCCCACGTTTCTTCTTCCGATGCTGAAGCTAACGCAAACGATAGGTGGCAGAGATGATTTCAGCCTGTTTTCGCGTCCGCATGGTCACTCCAAGGATCACCTGCCATCGTTCGCAAGCAGGGCGGAAACAGTTAAGTCCCGAGGGCTGCGAGTTGAACACTGTGCCCGAGAGAAAAGCAGCGAGCGGGAGCCGTGGGGGATCGCTGCCAGGTGCGGAGGGGGGAGGCAGGCTGCCCTCCTCCAGCGCGGCTGAGCCTTCAAGGTCACCCGACCGGGTGCCACCCTGGAAACCAGCCTGACGCTGGCGAGGCCGCGGCGCGGGAGCAACGTGCGAGTCCGCTGGCTGCTGCGTCACGGCGCATGCCTTCTGCACGGCCCGAGCCCCGGCTCCTGCGGCTTCCTAGCCGCAGTGCAGCAAAGCGGGGGCACACAGCTAGGCGCACAGCGACAGAGATGTAGAGTGTCGTTTCCCAGCCCCCCCTCAGCCTTCCTTACGTGAGGAGTATCCAGCTTTGCTTCGCCAGGAGCAGAAAAGCTGTGTGAATGTGCACGTTGGCGGCGGGAGTTCGCAGCAGAGCAGGTACTGCTCGGAGCCTCGCTGGGGCCCCCCGCCCCCGCCGCCAGCCACCTGTGCGAACAGTCTGCGGGCTGCTCTACCTGCGGGAATAAAGGCTAGGATCAAGGAGGCGAGGCTGGCCATGGCTGGTGTGGCCCGGGCCTGTGCTGGCGACTCCACCGAACTGAAGCCAGGGGACTCTCCCAGCTCCCGGTTCAGGCTGGTCACAGGGGCCGGCGCAGGTCCCCCACCCCGCTCCTCAGTTAGCACACGGTGTAAAGGAGAAACCAGACTCACTGACCTAATTCAATCCCAGTCCTCTCTGGATGCGGGGACAGCTGTCGACTGGCAGGGACACAGGCAGCCATCAGTGGAGGATTGTTGAGTGCAGCCTGAGAGAGAATGACAGTCTGATGCCGGTCATCTGAGGGCTTCTTCTCATTTTCCTAAGTAATCGTGCTCGCTAAGTGTGCAGTTGCCTGCACGAGCCTGCCTTCGGTGCAGTCTTACCTGCTCTGGCTGGAAATCGGTGCCAGGCAAGCCTGCTTTAGTACGAGCTCCTCTCTGCGTGATGCTACGCAACTGGGATGGGTCACAGTGACAACAAAGAAAGAAGCAGGAAGCCTCACTTTATCTTCTCTTGCGATGTTAGCAGAACATAACTCTTCCTCGCCGTGATGCCCCCCTGCGTGTGCTTCTGGGCGTGTGCACGCGCGCGCACGCCTTGTAATTGATCTAATCGAGGAGCCTAACAGATACCATCATGGATGTGGTTTTTAATGATTTGGGGGGGAAAAAAAAAAAGGCAGCCCGTGGAGACGGCAGCACGTTTAGGTTATTGCCAGTTCGAAATACTTTGGTTTGTGAAGCGGAGCCCTAAGGGACAAAGCTGGTAACTGAGAAAGAGATCGTAGATAAAGAAACAAAAGTGACAAGCATGATGGAATCTCTGCGAGTCGACTGTCAGAGCATCAGTCCGTGGATGGCAATTTCGCCAGGCTGAGACTGAATAATTCATAGATTGAAATTATCCTGCTTTCACCTTTCCATTTAAACCGGCATGATCTGAATCTCTAATAAATTTTCAAGATAAAGTAAAACGCCAATTTGAATCTGAAGAGCTTTTAAAACCAGATGCTGCATCCCTGAATCTTTCAGTATCTTTCACAATTATCCTGTGAGAACTGCACTTCATCACGAAGCACCATTACCAGGGAGAATGGCTATGATTACAATAGCAACAATAGAGTGCCACCAAATGACCTCTCGCTTACCTAATTTGCTAAGATTGTGGTTTTAGTGCCGTTGTACGTCGTCGCCGTGTTGGCACCCATGGATCTGTCTTGCACCGGAACAAAAGTGAGGCGGTGTGTGAAATAAATACCTCAACTCCGAAAGCCTAGCAGAGATCATTCTCCTAGGCTGCAGTGCGTCTTTCCTTTGGTTTGTGTTTCTGCATTTTTACATTTTGTTTTGTTTTGTTCTTCCAATGCCTACTCCCCAAATGCCTATTTGGGAGAAATGGTGAGCCTGTCGTGGATTTGGGGTTGATGCCTTGATACAGGAGAGCATGGACTTGTTAATTTATTTCCCCTGTTTATTTTAATGTATACAAGCATGTGTTTACTAGAAGGGAGGAAAGATTCTGTTCTGGGAGAGTAGTTTAAAAATGCAGTCAAGATGAAGCATATGTCTTTGTTTCTCCTTCGAAACCCCTGTCTGCTTTTCAGGTTAGAGATTCCTTCAGGACATTCTAATCCTGGTGTGATGTGTTAAAAAAAACCTCTCAGATTGAGAAGGAGCTCAGGAGACACATCCAGTAATAACTCTGTGCAGCTTTTATTAAAAGCATGGACTTGCGATCGAGTGATTAAATGCAGTTTAGCTGGGACTTTGGTTGTGGGTATGTCTGCTGGCTCTCTAGTGCAGTCTAAACTAAAGAGGACTTTTTCGGACAGCCTGCATGGTCCATTTCAGGGTAACTGCCCTCCCCACCCCCCGAAAAAGTGGCATGGCTCATAAAGCCTCGCTGGAGAACGGACATTGTGCCATCATTTAAGAGCCACGGTGACTTCTGGAATTTTACTTCTCAGTAGCATGAAGACAGTATGTGGGTTCCTGCTAGACAAGTGATTTAAGTTTGATTTTCTAAGGCAGGGTTTCTGAGCGATGACAGTCCTTGGGGAGGAAGGTAGGTTTGAAACATACCTTTCCAATATTGTGAATGTTTTGCTTGAGACCCTTAGCTCTGTTGTGCTTCTCAATCCATTACTGTGGCTTTTGCCCTTCTATACACCCCCAAATACCTTTGTCAGGAGGAGGTAAGTCATATTTCCAATCATTAGGATAACTGATTATGTTCTTCTTGTCTGGTTTCGGTGGGCATATGTGTTTTGTGCTGTACTTTCTTTCCACTTATTGTTACTCTCACTACCCTCAGCATAACTAACAACTTTTTTTTCCTGTGTTTTTTCCTAAATATAAAGGAAATCATAGTATTTTAAAAAGTGATTTAAATATAATGTCTGTTCCCTTTATCTAAATAAATTCATGCTTTTCAGAGGGGGAAACAGTTTTACTTAGTAAATAATTTTTTTTTTAAATAGTAAGCAATTCATTAGATGCCAATTATGTTACTATACTGTTTTCTTTAGATAGCTCACATTTCTAATACTGAACCCATTATCCTTATCTTTCAAGAAAGCGGCTTGGCTGATAGTGACAAAGGGCTTTTCACAAACCCACACTGTCTATGGGTCAGTATTTTTTTTTTATATTAACACATAGTCTTGATATTCTGCAAAGGATTTTCATTTCTGATATTTTAAAGCTCTTCAAAAGCCATAGTTTGAGCAGGATAATCATTGAACACACTGGTTTATGTATCTGATATTTAAGTGATACAGGCATAGTAAAATTATCTAAGAACAACTGGAAATCAGACTTCTGTTCCCTTTTGGGAACTCAGAAACTAAATATATTCACTTGATAAAGATAGCCACTTTGAAGCTTGTAGTTTTATGATTCAAGTATTTATACTTTATATTCTTGGAAAACGAGGGGTTTGTTTTATTTCTTTAGGATGCAAGTGCCAGTCATGTGTTAACACTATCTTGTGTTAGTGCTTGATGATACTGAAATGTAATTGTTTTGCCACAAGAAACAGGTAGAGTCCAGTAGAGCTGCTCACTAACTTAAAAACCTTCAACTCCAGTTTTTCCCTGAAATTAAATTTTCTTTCAGACGCTATTTAAATAATTGAATGTAAATATATTTATACAGAATATAAAAAAAAAATTTCATTCGATAACTTTTAATCTTCTATTGGCAACTTATTCACTATGGATATATCTTACTTAGAATGCTCTAGATAAGCGTAACATAGGTTAAAAAAGTACTACAAGAATAACTACAATTGCAGGTAACTTGAAAAATAATCAACCGTGGAAGTATACTATTAGGGGTTAATTTGTGTGAATCTCAGACAATCATGGCTTAACACTATTTTGTAGTGTTCTGTTTCTTTTTTTTCTGGTGGGCATGAGAAAGACAGGTACAAAGCTAGCCCCTCCCTCCTTGCTCCTAACTTCCAATCACTGCAGAGCATCAACTGCAGTTAGGAGGGGTGATTTAAAAATTAAACACCCACAAGCACACTCCTGGAATCCACCGAAATGCCTTGTGCTTGAAGACAGAATGTGGATCGTAGATACAGAGAACAGATCAATGGTTACTAGAGGGGAAGGGGGCATGGGGGCGTGGGCAAAATGGGTGTGGGGAATCGGTTATTGGTGATGGATGGGAATTAGGCTTGTGGTGGTGATCACTTTGTAGTTCACACAGATGCCCAATTATAATGTTGTATACCTGAAACTTATATAATGTTATTATATACCAATTTTACCTTAATTTAAAAAAACCAACTATATCCCACTAATAAAAAAAAGAATGTATAAATTTTATCACTTAGTAATGGGTCTTTTCTGGACATTACTGCATTTTAGATTTCAACTCATTTTTACCGTCTGGTTTAGAGCAAAATGAAACAAAAAACTCTTCAGGGGCAATATATATTGCCAATATATATATGCCAATATATATTTCTACTTCATATTTGTTAACTAGTTAACAAATACGTAGTGAATAGATGCATTTCACATATAATCAAATGGAATATTCATAGTTGGTATGGGATTTCTCTAAATAATAGGTTCCGAGAACAATGGCATAGTGTATTTCCCCCTAAGTTTTCAGGTGTAGTAATTAAATGTGCTTTTACCAAATACCAATATTTGTGCTATACTAGGGCTCCCAAGGAGAAAAATGCTGGTGGGACAAAAGAAACAGGTATACACAGGTATTCAGTGAGGCTTTCTTTTAAATGGCACCATCAAAAAGAAGTTGAAAATCTTCTGTGTACTATCTTTTTAGAGAGCCTCTTCTCTCTAGAAAGAGAATCTTTCTAACATTTTATTATGAGAATTTGCAAACATCCAGAAAAACTGAAAATGTGTAAGTACCCATATACTAAGACTCTATAAATAATATTTTACTGTACTTGCTTGGTCACATATATATCCAACTACCCATCTCCTTGTTCATCCATCAATCCATCTTATTGTTTTGACACATCTCAAAGGAAGTTGCAGACATCAATATTCTTGACCTCTAAGGATATGCCTGCTGAAGTACTTAACTAGAATTCAATATTTGTTTGTAGAGCTTTCCTTTAAGTAAAATTTATACATGATGAAGAAATAGGGGCGCCTGGCTGGCTCAGTCCGTTGAGCGTGTGACTCTTGATCTCAGGGTTGTGGGTTTGAGCCCCACTTTGGGTATGGAGATGACTTTTTAATTTTTTAAAAGATTTTATTTATTTATTTGAGAGAGAGAGCACAAGCAGGGGGAGTGGCAGGCAGAGGGAAAGGGGGAAAGGGAGAAGCAGGCTCCCCACCCAGCAGGGAGCCCATCGAGGGGCTCCATCCCAGGACCCTGGGATCATGACCTGAGCCAAAGGCAGACACTTAATCGACTGAGCCACCCAGGTGCCCCTTAAAGATAAAATCTTTAAAAAAAATTTATATACGATTCATCAAAGAATTTTGAAGGACAATGTTATTTCTTATGAGGCAGTAGCTCTTTCTTTAACATGATGAGTGGTTTGATCCTGTGTTTTCACTTGGGATGTACAAGCCCACATTTATGGTGGAGGGAAGTGGGCTTTTCCCAGTCTCGGTCTCCACTGCCAGTGAGCCTTCACCCACTGCACCCAAGGAACACTGGTAACTCAGCATCAATATCCTTCACTCCCAGTGTCTATCTCTGTTCTGGGACCAGCTTTCCTTTCTCTCTCCTGCAGGCCTGTGAATGCTGACCCATGCCTCTTGAACAATCACCAACTCTTCTGTGTGGGTTCCTCTCTGCCTCTCCCTTTCCTGCCCTCCTTTCCCAGTCAGCTTTCTCTCTTCCACTTTCCCCCCAGCTCCTAATTTTTTTTTTCTCAGAACAAGGGAACAAATCTCTTCATTTTTCAAGTCATGCTACTGCATGCAACTTCAGGGAAATCGTTAGGGAAAGCAAAAATAAGGAGTCAAAGAATCACAAGAACTCTTAAAAGGATTAGCTTCTCTTGGTCTTAATAAAAATGAGTGGGGGCGCCTGGGTGGCTCAGTCG